GCGGTCCCCTCTCGCCGGTGGGACCCCCACAGCGCGGGGCAAGCTTGCACCGGCAAACCCTGCGGCCCGAGCGCTGGCGAGAGCAGCTTTGTAGGCAGACCCGCTTCGGGTCCGTGCTGCTCCTTTCCTTCTTCCCCTCCGAGCCTCGCACGCACGTGTCGGAGCCAGGCAGACGGAGGAGGCGGGCAGCGTGCACGTTCAGAGAAAAGCCTGTTTTAATCGAGAACAGATTTTGAGCCCTGGAAAATATTTACAAACAAACCGTCGTCTCTTCTGCTTTCCCTCCTCCAACACGTCAAAGACTGAAGGGTTTGCATCCTGCGCCTTTCCTGGCTGGGCGAGAAACCATACGGTCGTCCCAGGGACGCCTCTGCCGCGGGAGCCCGGAGCCCCGGCGGGGGAGAGGGAGCAAAGCTCCTTCCCCCCGCTGCTTGGTGCCGGTCCCTCTCGCACAAGATAACCTCCATTAGGAGAGGGTTAAAGAAGTTATTGTGGGAGCTGCCGTCCCGGGCTGGCACCAGGCCTGAGCCCCTGCCTCCCTTCCCTTTTCTTTGCAGTCCCCTGTGTCTGCACTTTTGCCTGAAAATGGTAAAAAGCGGAGCAGCCGTGAGCTGGTTGCATCCGTCCTGGCACAGCGGGCAGTTTCTGGGGACGGGAGCGTGACAGCCCGGACCACCGTGCATCAGCCCGGGGTCGTTCCTTGCCGGCGGGCTGCCTGCAGCCCCCTGCTTTGGGGGCGAAGGGGGTTATCAGCACAGATGCCGGCCGAGGCAGGCGCCGAGCTCGGGGTGGCGCGCTGCGGGAGGGACAAGCTGAGCCCTTGGCACCTCAAGCCGGGCCCCGGTCACTCCGTGCCTCTCTGTCGCCCACGCAGGTCAGGAGGAGCCAGGCTGCGTCCCGCGGCCCCAGTGCCCTCAGGAGTGCACCTGCCTCGACACGGTCGTGCGCTGCAGCAACAAGCACCTCAAGGCCCTGCCCAAGGGCATCCCCAAGAACGTCACCGAGCTGTGAGTGACGCGCGGCTGTCGAGGCTCTTCCCGCGCCTCCAGCCACGTCGCGCCGCGGGGCTGCTGGAGCTGGGGGC